CGGGGCCTTGCGCCCGAGTGGGGCGTGCGCGCGGCCGGCGGCGACGGGGCCGCTCCCGCCGGGGCTCGCGGAGCCATTTCCGGCAGGGGCGGGGCCGGAGGCTGCTGGAACCTTAAATCTCGGCGCCAGGTGTGGTTGCAGGATCCTGGTGGCCCGGGAGTCCGCTGCGCGCTGAGGGAGAGGAGCGGGAGGTGGAGCCGGGCCGGCGAGGCAGAGTGTCCGAGGGAAGGGAAGGGGGAGGTGGAGGGGCAGCTGCGGGCTCCGCAGGAGCGGGGAGGCTGCGGACTGGAGAGGGCTCGGGCCGGGCCCGATCGAGGGCGAGCAGAGGCGGGCCGGCGGCTGGGCCTGCGGCGGGCTCTGAGGGCTTGAGAGGGCTGAGGGCCGGGCGCCACGCCGAGGTCGGAGCGAGTGGAAGGTCCGTGGGGGGTGGAGGGAGGACGCCAGGGCCGAGATGGAGGCGGGTTTGGAAGTCCGCTCCCAGGGCGGGCTCGAGTGGGCTTGCGGCGGCCAGGATTTGCTGGTCCTTGAGACGTGAGGGAAGGGTTATGGGGATGGAGGGCTCAAGACGAGAGCGAAGCCCTCCTGTGTGTAGACGGAGTCCGGCGGAGGCTGTCTCCTGGGCCTGGGGCTGCCCTCAGCGTCCGATCCTCAGCCCGGGTTGGGTTGGATGGGCTGCGCTCCGGGCTCCGGGACCCCAGTTGGGGCGGGCCGGGTGTTTCCCTTAGTATCTGCCTGGCTGGAATGCTTCGTGGGAGGCTGGATCTGGGTTAGTTTCATCAGCTGTGGGAGGGAAACCTAGTTGCGTCAGGGTTATATTGTGCAGGTTTGGGGTGCTAGGGGTGGAGAGTGATATCTGGCAGTGAAATCTGATCCTTCAAAGGAGGGTGAGAACCATTTCTCTGCTGCTCTGGCGAAATCTAGGCGGGACGGTGAGACAGTTTAACGCTTTGGAAGTAAACAAACCTGATTCCCTTTTACAGACACGGAAAGAGGGGTCACTGAACTGACGGCTGGAAGAGGAAGATGCCTAGTTCGGACCTTCTAATGTTGGTGAGTCTTTTCCAGACATCCTCTTGTTGGAAGTCACTTGTAATTTTCAATTGTTAGTCCAAAGGATTTCACCTCTGACACTTGCTTTTGGTAACTGAGTATTTCTGCCACCTTTTCTTTTGGGTTAATGATCAGGATGAAGAAATGAATTAATATGTGCATACAGTATATGTAGAACTTAAACATTCTTGAAGAATCTTTTTCAAGGTTTTTGCAGTTGGTTTTAATCTCTCCCTTTCCATACTACCAGAGCAGTTTTAAAACCTCTATTATTGCATTTTATCAGGGTCCGCCATAAATTAGTTTATAAGTGTTTGTCTGCCAGACTAGTTAAGATTCTCTGGAAGGCAGATATTATGCTTTACTTATTTAGAGATGAATAAACACCTATCAGAGTGCTCTGAATATAGTAAGTGCTTAACAAATTGCTTATTGAATTAAACTAGTCAGAATTTAAGTTCTTGGGCTGAGAAGCATGCCTGCTTTGGTAGAGGCTGTTTTCTCCTCTCCCCCTGAGATCTTGCTGTGCTCTTTGTTCCCTGAGCAGGGAGAATAGTATTGCCAAATGAGTGTTTACCAAAATGACCTTTTATTCCTGGGACATTTGTGGTTCTCTATAGGCTCTTTTGTGTGAAAATTGTGGGGAGACCATAGCTTTCAAATAGCGATATGCAGAAAGTGTCCGGATTTAGTTTTTGTTTATTAAGTCACTTCTCTGAGTCTGATATCTCTTTGTACAAAATCAGTAATTTAAAAACAATTCCTTTCTCTCTCTTTATCTTACTATCCTATAAATTTGGTTGTTGTCACTGGGAAATAGGGAAAAACTAGTAGTGAGGTTTTTTTAATTCCCAGTGTTGACTTCTTGTGGTAAAACCTGTGAGGTCTGCAGGAAGGATAAAGAAGAGGGAAACTAAGTTGTAATTCATTCTGGTTTGAGTCAGGGAACAAGGATGATTTTAGGTTGTGCATGAAAGACATAGATGAATACTTGGTTTATCCACAGATCCCAATGAAAAGTTCACCTAAAATAGTTTCTTGCCCCAAATTTCATGGATTTCAGTAGATAATAAATAGAATTACGTAATTTAAAATTCTTATTGCAAGAGCATTATGTTAGAAACATTGGAAACTATAAATAAGCAAAAGGAAATACCCCCCCTCCGCCTTTCCATCTCCTATCCCTGCCCCCACCCCTGTAATAATTTCATCACCCACGGATAACCACTGTTAGAATCATGGAGGGTTAATGGAGAATGACTTGTAATGATTGGCAATTTTTGTTTTTCCTCTTACAGATCAGTATGTTTATGTAAATTAGATTCCGATATGTAAGTAAGATATTTCTCCAGGCACAGAGATGTGCTTATTACTTCTTGGAGCTATAAGTTTAACAGTCTCAGCAGTGATTGCTTTTATTCAGAATATTAATTTTGGAATCAGTTGTGTTTTAAAGTATTTCTCAGGCTGTTGCCATACCTTTCACTTCCTCATCTGATATTCTGGAATGTTTAAGGGTGTTGCTTTGCTTGTTGCTGTAAGGAATTAATTTATAGATATGAGTGACCCTTGAAAATCATCACTTTCCGAAGACAATTTACATGTTGCATGAAGTGCTTTCACTGGAAAAGTTGTCATCCCTTCCTTGGCTGTAACGTGCTATTTGGGGCTAAGTGGTAAAGAAACAATGACCAGGGCTGGGTTTTCAAAGGAGCACTAAAATCATCGTGATCTGAGTTCAAGGTGTTTCTCTTAACTACTTTATATGATGCGTGAGACAAGTTCTTGGTCCTGCAACTGAGAAGAAAGGACTTAAGTGAATGAAAAAATAACCTCAGTGCAGGGCATCATCTCACAGAATCTCAGAATTAGAAACAATCTGAGAAGTCATGTTATGCGGCTTCTTACATTGTACGTGAATCTTTTTTAGGATGTCTTTCATGAATAGACATCCATTCACTCATCCTTTCTGCTAGTGGAATAACATGAGCAAAAGCTAGGAAAGAATACAAGGTGGATTCAGGAATAATAATATAACTCCAATAGCTAACATATATATATATATTGAGCATGTATTTATGTTAGGTGTACAAATAGATACTCTACATACTCCTTTAACTTTAACAAGAACCCTTTGAAAAATATGCTGGCATCCTCCTTTTATAGATGAAAAACTAGACTTATAGAGGGTAACCATAGCAATTTAGTGGTGGAATCAAGTTTTACCTGAGTTGATCTGGCTTCGGATGCCTCTTTCCTGTCTACTCTGTGATGCTGCCTCTGGGCCATAGTCACTATAAGGGGCAGAGGTTACTGACCATTGTGACTGATGAGAGGTTTGTGTAGAGCAGAAGGGGTGGTATAGCACTTTGAAAATGTGGGAAGGGAGAGGGAATCTTTTGTCTTCCAGTATAGTCTTGTCTGAAAATACATGTTTCATTATAAATCTTGCTTATTTTCCTTTACATTGCAGTTAGGGCATTATACTGAAATTTTAAATTTTGTGTGTATAGCTTTAATGTTATAATTTTTGAGTTTTATTTCAGAATAGTAAAGGAACATTATAAAATATTTATTGTAAAAAGAGGGCTTTGGGTCTAATAGGATTGAAAAACACTTGTGTGGACAGTATGCTGTGAGAGAAAATTTGAAGATCATCTGAAGTCTGTATATAACAAACCTTGAACCCAGACTAAGGAGCTTGGGCTGTCACCCCTCAGTGTATTCCTGCTGTCAATTTTGTCCGCATTTGTTTAGGGTTTTTCCATTTGCTCGTATGTAACATGTCACAGACTATAATACTTTCCACCTATGTCTCAGAGGGAATAAAATGAGTGTATGTGTTCATCTACTGAGAGTTGTGATGCTTCCAGAGGGAATTCAAGTCAGGCAATTTTGTAGCAGCCTTTCTTCACTTTGGCAACCATTCTTTTCAGCCATATTTTCCTCCCCCTCAGTTCATGGGGGTGGTATCACTTTGCAAGTTGCCAAGTAGTTGTAGTTTTTAGGAAAAGTTACTTTATAAAGCCAAGTCTACCCTTGGTGGTTTTTCTCTTTTCCTTTCCGAAGATGAATAAATTAGCTGGTATTCATAGGTGAATCAAGGTAAGTATGTCTGGCCTGCTAGTGCTAGGTGGGGTCTGAGTGATAACTGTTTATCTAGGACAGTCATTCTCGATCAGGGACAATTTTGCTCCTGCAGGGACATTTGGCAATGTCTGAAGATGTTTTTGGTTGTCATACCTGAGGAGTGCTACTGGCATCTAGTGGGTAGAGGTCAGGGATGCAACTAAACATAACCAAGAATTATCTGGCCTAGAATGTCAGTAGTGCTGAGGTTGAGAAACTCTGGTCAAAGTTTCCTTGACGTAGATAGCTGGGTACCTGTGTAACTTTTGCCTTCATGTGGGTGAGGGCATGAATTTTTTCTTGGAATTTGATGGGTCTGTTGCAGTATAAGTCCGTGGATCAAGCCCTGCTGCTTTCAAGTATATATTGGAGAGTATACAACATGATCTTCTGCAGTAGAGCAATATTCTTAAGAAATGCTTTCCTTTGCAGCATTTCTGTAGCACTCTTCTTGATTTGAAAATGGCAAGCCTCTCAGTGTTTTGTTTTTTAGGTTCAAAAATTGAATCTTTTCAAATCTTTCAGCTTCATCTTTGACCCTTGAATCCTTTTTAGGGATGTTTTCTTTCTGAATCTCAAATGGGATTTATGCAATAAACTGAAAAATTGACGTTAAAAGCTCATTTCTATTATTTGAACCTGGTATCTTTGTAGAATTAGCTAGAAGAAAGGGAAAATTGGGACAGATAGGACATTTAAAAATTTTGTTGACATTCGAGTGACCATTGTAGGATGAGCACTGTATTTGGCATTGTTCCAGTCTTGTAAATGAAGCCAAACTGTAATAATTTCTCCAGTCTTTGGTCTTCAGGAAAGGGGAGTTATAAATAAACTCCAAATTCCTGTATTTGGCTTAGCTTTATGGTCTCTGTGTCAGAAATTTTTAGTAACATTTACCTTCTTAATGAGGCTTTGCCCAATCTAATAGTACGTATAGTTTGTACAATTAGTGGCAGAATTGAGAATCACCCTGGGGTTAAGAATTTTCCATAGGGAATTGATTTGTAGTGAATCAGTCTGTATGTGTAAATACACAGAACCCACTTATTGAGAGAAAAATCATGCTGTGGAGTAAGGGGAAGTGGAGCCATCTGGGAAGATGGAATAGTGAAGGCTGAAACTAGTTTGTTGGAGATATCAGTCATCTTCTGGCACACTCCAACAGTGTGCTTGAGGAGATCAGGAGACTATTTACAAAGGCTGGGCAGAGCTAAGGAAAACCAACAGGGGATGGTGAAACATCTCAGGGCTAGCAAGGGAGAGTCACTGTTATTCTCAGGCCTGAGGGGGCAAGGGAGGGAGTAATTTCTGGAACCTTGAGAGAGTTTAGCTGAAGGAGAGGGTAGCCTGTAGGAATGCAGCTGCTGCCAACCACTGGCCCAGCAGGAAGGGAATCAAAGGGAATAAATACCTCAGACTCTTTTCCCACTTTCTGATCTTTTGCTGGAGGCTTCCATTGCTCCAACCTAACTGGAAACGAGAGAGTAAGCCTGGTTGATTTAATTCATACAGGGCAGCCTTGTAAGGCACGTAGCAGAGTTGGAGAAAATTGGATGGAGTATCTGGAGAAGAAAGGGAGAAAACCCAGCATGCTGAAGTTGAGGTCAAGTTAGTTTTAAAAGGCACAAGCGAGAAGATAGTGCCTGAGCAGAATCTTGAAGATGGGTAGGTATGGATTGTTACAGAAAAGGAATGTTCTTGCTGATAGTAACAGAAGGATAGATTCAGAAGCAAAGTGTCACCATAGGTTTGGCAAGGCCAGAGCTGCTTTGTTCCAGTAATAGCCTTAGAATCTTAATTGGCTGAAGGGCTTTAGAAACCTTGAAGTCCAGCTTTCTTGTTGCATAGGAATTCCTTCCACAGTGCCCTAT